CAACTGTTACAATTACCACAATTGTTACAATTGTTGTTACTATATTTTGTGGGTTTGTTTAGTTTAGAAGATGTGAATGAAGGGAGATGATCCAAACACACCTGAGGGTGAGTTTGAATACCGGCACCTCCCCTGTGGGGTTTGGGGTGAGAAAAGAAGAGAAGACTGCTTGTGTGGTTCTTATTTACTTTTAATTTTATGTTATGGATTTTCCCCTAAAAAGACGCTTTGTTGAGGACAGAAAGGGGATCCTGACGGGTTGGCAGGGAGAAAGAAACATTTTTCAACAAATAGGAAGAAGCGTCCAGTCAAGGAAAGGAGGATTGTGGAAGGCCATTCCCCAATCGCACTCCATCCTCTAAGAGGATGGGAGTTTTACCTCGACTTCATGCCCCAATTTTATGGCGCTCACGTTGATTCATGATTTTATTCACGCAACTAATAATATATACACTACCCTTAGTTATATCATTTTTTATTCAGGGGGCATTTTAAAAGAAAAAACGTTAAATGTAGTTTGGGATAGCATGTGTGTATAGACATTAAATAGCGAACATTCTCTGCAGTTGCCATTCATGATGATCAGGTGGTTCATATCATCAGGGTCGACTATCAAATTTATCCTTGAGGCATGCGGGATGACAGACTTTTATACACAACATTGTAATTTTTACAATTGATGTCATTCTGAACATTTTCCATACACTTTAGGGACCTTAAGGGATTGCCAATGGGTGAAATTTAATGGAAGAAGATCACATTTCACTTTCTTCGCATGCCTGATCCCCTGTTCTCAGATAATATTGCAGAGCTTATGTTTTTTTTCCTTCCTCAGGGGGCACCGTCAGGTTCCTCTCTATCGTTGGTGGAAGAATCGTCGGAGGGAAAAAATCGAATCAAACAACGGCCTCGACATCTGCCGGATTGTTAATATCACCATCATCATTTGTGCGATAGATAAAATCCTTTGAGAGAGAAGGATCATGGCCTGTTCAGGTCAAGCAAGATATTCTCGAAGAGTTCATCCCATCGAGTAAACTTTGATTGTTCTCGATGATGCGATGTTTTGCGTTAATACGCGGCGTTGGGAGAATGTAGGGATTTAATGAGACGCTACTTTATTCATTTATTATTGCTATTTGAGTGATTACGCGTGTGTTTTGCGTTTAATTTGAAAAAAGATCCTCGCCCCTTCAAAGAAAATAATTCTTGGAGAAGTTATTCATTTCTGTCTGTCCATCGGTGTGGGTGGAGGTAGAGTAATCAATAAAACATAGGACGTTTATATAAATCTAGAATATATATATATAGGTTATCTACCTTTTAACTTTACCCCTTCTCCCCCAAAATAGAAAAATATGTGAAAAAAAAGTGTATAATAAAGCAATATGATCCACACCTCATGCATTTTGAACAATTAGCAAAGAAGAGCAATGACAATGAACCTTCTAAAGACGGTTTGAGTTAATAAGAAGCTGGTCGAATAATAAAAGGAAACATAAACGATAGCTAATCCATAAAAAAAAAACAAAAAAACATTGAGTAAAAAAAAAACGAATACAACATTAAGTATACAAAGTATGTATTTGTTCTTTTACGTGCATCACATTCTTTTATAAACAAAGGGGAGAGAGAAATAGACTACAGAGAGCTAAAGCTGCGCTATTAGCTCTTTCAATGCACGTTATATACCAAACACATGAACTTTCTCCGTTTTTTTTACAACCCGGCAGGATATTTGAATACTTTACATTTATCAACATATCTCAGATTAGCTATATTTAATTTTACACTTCGTATCGCTTCGTTTTTCCCTGATTCACAAGCGAGATTTCATTTCTTCTTTTTAAAATAATAAGATGCTGAAGGGGTTGTATAGATACCCTTCCATTTCCTCTTCAATACTTTGAAAAAAGGTAAAAAAGACCTCTTGAATAGCACGACTAATTCTCATGCATGGATTTCACATTTTCAATGGAGAAGATAATGCACAATGTTTTCAATTTAATATCCAGATAAAGTGAAATTTGAAAAACAAAGTCAACAGACCAATAGATATCTTCCTTAAGAATAAAAAAGCCCCTACAAAGTACTTTTGTTATTATTTTTGGAAAGTTTAAAGCTCTCAAAGTCTATTTCTGCTTTTCCTAACATACATCGTTTCGCTGTGTGGATTACATCTTATCCTTTTGATCTCTTCACCCCTTCTCTCCTTTTCTACATGGATTCAAGTAGAAAACACATTGTAGTCATTCTTGTTTTGATGGTTCTTTCTATTTCAACCTAATAGGTCGTTATTGCCTTTTCCAAAAGAAAAATTATCCTCCAAGCCAAACGACAGTGGGGTGAGTGAAGAAAGGCAAACAATATCAAGGGGAGGGGGTTCCAATAAAGGACTTAGCCAACCAATATCGCTCAAGAAAAAAGGAGCGATCGTGGTTAATAACGACCGTCTATAGCAATCCCAGCAGAACACTTTTTCCCTCATTTTCCTTTCTTTTTTTTTGTTGTGTGTGT